CTTATAAATCTAAATTATTTTTGAAAGTCATTTTTAGTTTTTCTAAGATGTTTTGAAATCTGTCTCGATATTTTTTAACTGTTTAACTTGGTGAAATGCAGGGTTTGGGGTTTTTTGGAGGGATGATTGAATTTTCTTATTCCCGCATTAGCCTTTGCAGTTAATGTGTGCCCCATCCTGGTCTTCTAAATATGTAGTTCTTGTCATGACATACCATTTATTGCCATAATGTCTCTCAAGTAAAGGCTTTTTTTTAAAGGGTAATAAATTGAAAGAAAAAAAAAAAAGACACAAGAATAAGGGGGAAAAATGTGTGCCCCAGGCTTCAAGGCCTCGCTCAGCATGGAAGAAGCACTTCCAGACCCAGCTGCCTCTCCAGTCCTGTTCAACCTACGGATTCTAGCCATTTGCCGAGCCCTCCACACGCCCATGGAATCCTCCCTTCTCCTTGGTTTGAGTCTACCACTGGCCACGTTCTCTCTTTGGTTTTGGGGGGGTCAGGAGTGAGGAAACTTCTCCCTCTCCTGCTTTGCACTTCCAACATTAAAACACTGCCCCTGTCCAGTACAACCTGCCAGTCTATGTCCCCAAAGACCCTAGGACAGAGGGAGCAGATATCCCTGATCCCACCCCAAGAAGCCACAGTCAAGGCTGCATCTCAGGGAATCTGTTCTTTGGCCTCTGTTTCCTCTTCCAGGATGCCTGCAAGAGGGGCCAAGCACTCTGCAGAGCTTCAGCCTGGGTCCTAAGGTTACTGTGGGACAGCTCTGTCTGCTTCTCCTCCAGGCTCAGCTGTGCACAGACTCCTGAGTGAACTGAGAGTCCTGGGGCCTGGGGAGATAGGGCACCATCTGTCCATTGAGTACCCCTGCAGGTTTAGGTGTCACCCAAGAGGTAGGGGGCAGGTTCGGGAGGCCCTATGGTATCATCAGTGTGCTGCTACTGCCCAAGGAGATCCAGAATGGCCAGTCATCCTGTCCCTAGGTCTGGCCTATCAAATACTCCACAGTTCTGGGTGGCCATTTCTAGGCCACCAGAAGAAGCCCTGTGTGTGTTCACCTGGTGGCCCAGTTAGTGGCCTGATTTCATAAAGAGGCCCCTGGGATGGCTGCTCAGTGTCTGTATGGCATCAGCTAGTCAGCCAGAGAAAACAACTGTTCCTTCTCAAAAGGTAGAGAATCTCTTCCCCTGAGAATCACTGAGGCTGGTCACAGGTGTGGCCTGCAGCTGAGGGGTATAGGTTCTGGGGCCTCTTGGACTAACTCCAGCTTGAGAAGGCTAAATCTGGGCACATGAGGGTACATTCCAAGGCTACCTTGGGTAGGAAGATCAAAGGAGATAGTAGAGTGCCTGTCTGAGCCAGAATGGGGTTTCTGGTTCACAAGAACAGATGGCATCTTGAGGTCCTTCCCATGAGCGTGGACAGAAGCCCCTGCCCTGTGTTAGCACAAGGCCCTACTCTGAGTCCCAAGGCCTTCCAAAGCAGCTTACATGGTGTGACCAGGACTGGAAACCCCCAGACATGTAGCAGAAGATGGAACCCAACCCTGAACAAATCCAAGGGCCTCTTCTCTCCAACACCCCCCACCTTCATACCTACCCTGACCCTGCTGCACAGCCTCTAAGTACCTGCTGTGTGGCAACCACCTGTTCCTCCTAGTGATTTGGTAGTGGGCTATTCACTCCACCTGGATCTGGCCTGAGGTCATCCCAGGATTCATATCCATCTTGGCTTAAACACCCCCAGATGACATTTGTGCATCCAATGTAATTGTAGGAGCCAATCTGAAACCCTTGGTGCCTGGTACACTGATGTATTCCAGGATCACTGCCCACCATCCTGAGATCAATGCCCATCCCAGATCTGAGCCCAGAGTGTCCCCCATGTGGGAAACACTGCTACATTTCACTGAATATCAGACATTCTGGGTCTGCTGTGTCCTGTGGCTTCTGGTGTGGCCCTAGATCCCAGCCTGCTCCCCAACCCTGAGACCACAATGTTAGGAGGGCCCCAGGAAGGGAGGAGATAAGCACAGGACAGAGGGCTTTGGGAGACATTCATCACCCATCCTGCCAGAAGGAGCAGCCATCTGCCAAGAGAACTGGTGCCTTAGGCTTTAAGCTCTCCCACCCCCTAAACCCACAATAAAAATAATCCCTCCACTCCAATGTGCCCCAGTTCCACAGGCGCCTCCTCATCCAGCTGTGCACTGATGGCCAGCAGAGCCTGGGAAGTGTGGGTGACCCCATTTCATGGAATCACAGCAGGAAAACCTGCTGAATGACTTAAGAGTCCTAGGGCCTGAGAGGATAGGGAATGTCTGCTCACTGAACATGCTGCAGGGTCTGAATGTATTGGGGTGGGGGTGCTACACAGTCCCCTATGGAAGGTACATGTACTGCTGTCCAAGAGAGTCCAGAAAATTTGGTCCACAGGCCCTGGCCCTGGCTCTGGCCCTTCCCCATGGAGGCTCCCAAGCACCTGACAAGGGCTGGTCCAAGCTGGGAGTGGGGGGAAGGCTAGCTTTGTAGGCATCTTTGGGAAGCCTGGGCCTGTCCCTATAGGGACTGCTGTTGCTGGCTAGAGGCACCCCACCCAGGATGCAGTATAGTCACCAGGTGGCCCCCAGGGTACAGCTCCTCCAAGAACACACTGCACACCAGGGCAGCTAAATAAGAACACCAAAAAATGATCTATAGGAAAAGAGGGTAATACCCTCAGCACTGCAGTGCTGTGCTGGCTTGGAAGGTGGATAGTAGGGCAGTTGTCCACCCTGGACTTACTATGGTACCTTGGGAAGGGGGCTAACAGGCAGGATCCCAAAGGATCTGTTGCTGAAAAGAGAAAGCCCCTCTCCAGGCCACTCAGGCTCAGCCAAGCACATGCCAGCTCATACACCAAAAGCAGCAAGTTCTTCACACCATGGGTAGACACGAAGGCCTCCTACCCCCAGTTAGTGCCTCACTTGGGAACCACTGCCTGGAAGAGAGGGGCAGGGACCAGAGCAGGGAGCAACTCTGCAGAGGCCCAGGCCACAAGACCTCCTGGGTACAAGCCTTCTGACCCACAGATGCTTGTCAGTGGACACTGCTGAGGGTCTCTAGAGGTCACAGGGTCCCTAAGCCCAGCTGGCCAGAGGTACCAAGAGGGGACAAAATTTACCCACCCATTTGAGGTCCTGGGTCACAGCACAAGAAAGCCCAAGAACTAACTGGTGAATGAGACGACACAGCCAGGTTGGAGCAGCCCCCTCACAAGGGAAGCTGACCCTCAGGCTTCCTCCAGACCGCTCGCTCCACCCACTAGGGTGGCCTGAGCTGGAGGTCGAGCTGGGCCCAGCCTAAGGAGGCGGTGCCCGGGCCCAGGTGGCAGGAGTGGGCGGGGCGCCCGCTGGGCTCTGCGGGGCTCGCCAGCCCAGACTCACTCTGCGCATCCCTCAGTCCCTGTCGTTACTTGGCTCTCGCTGTCATCTTCCAAAGTAAGTCAATACACAGAGCCTCTCCTGCCGGGAGGGAATCGCAGCCCAGGGGTATTGGGCTTGCCCAGCTCTGTGCCTTGGCTGACCCTCTCCTCGGGAGGCGGCCGGCGGAGCGACCCCAGCGCCGGGAGCCACGCTGCGTGCCGGGGCCGCGTGTTGTACGCCGTGCGCGCCGCCGTGCGCCGTGGCCGGGGGCGTCGTGGGATGCGCGGGCGGCGGCTGGGCTCAGCGGCGGCGGCGGCGGCGGCGGTGGCAGCGGCAGGTATGGCAGGCTGGGCGGGTAAAGACCCCAAGCCCAGGAAGGGCCCACGCTCAAGGCTTGGGCTGCTCCCGTGCCCACGTGGCTGTCCACGTGCAGAGCCACAGAGAACAGCCAGGGTGGGGCGCGGGAACTTGGGGGTTCCAGGGAGAGCACCCCGCATACTCCCGGATCTCACTCCAGCCCCTGGCCGGCACAACTGCTGTGCCCAGGGATGGAGATGGCCCCAGAGTGCCCACCACCCACTGAAGCAGGTGCCCCAATGCCATACCAGCCCCTCTCCCAAGGCCCACAGGGCCAAATCTGGGGAACGACAGACCCCTGGCCCCGGGGGCGGGGGGGAGGAAGGAGGGGCAAAGGGCTGCCTACCCTCACCACCCTAGCTGTCACCCAGCAGCATCTCAACCAAGCTCCCAGGGTGCTGTACTGTGGTCAGGTCCCCCACTCCTAGGGAGACTATCCACAGCCCGTGTCTGGGCTTGCCTGTATCCCCAGACCCCCTCAGCACACACTCTCTGGCCTTCTGGAGATGCAAATTGTAGCCAAATCCTCCCAGCCTAGGATTAACCCGCCCTTGGAGTGAGCTCTGTCATGCAAAGCAGAGGGAGGGATGCAGAAAGAACAGGCAATATCCAGTCCCCTGCAATCTGTCTTTTCCCACCCAGGCAGGATGGTTTGACTTAAAAATGGGCCGCACTGGAGGGGATAGGTTACTATCAGACCCTTGTGTGCACATCAGGGAATCTTCCCAAGGCAGGAAACAGTGGCCTGTTCTCTAGACCAGAGCTGGGCCTGATGAAACTCAGGGTGCAAAGGATGGAAAGTTTGCTGTGCTGTTAATGAGCTCTGCTGGGGAAGGGGAGCGCATGGGGCTTCGTTAGTGGAGCACCATGGGACCTGGACCTAGTACTCCAGCACTGTCTCTGTAGCCCTTCAGAAAAGCAGACAGTAGTGTAGCCCCAGGATTTTCCTGGGTGTGGGTAGCAGATGGCAGCCCCCAGCTCTACTGCTTTCTCCTGTGCCAGGGCTGGCACACCTTTCTCCATAGGGGTGGCACACCTATGGTATACGTTTTTCTTTCAAGACAGATGTCCATCTATGAGGTTCTTTCAGAACTAAAACCTCAGTATTCAGGTTTAGCTGTAGTGTTGGTACTTTGCAATAAATGAGTTTAGGTTGCAGTTTAGCCACTGTAATACGTTCATCATCACTATCCTATGTCCTCCAGCCCCAGGCTGGCCACTTCCGAAGCCCCCGACGCCATGGAAGAGTGGGATGTGCCCCAGATGAAGAAAGAGGTAGAAAGCCTCAAGTATCAGCTGGCGTTCAAGAGGGAGATGTCCTCCAAGACCATTCCGGAGTGAGTCCCCACCTGCCCACCATGCATCTCATTTTCATCTTATTTGTGTGCAGGACCTTGCCCCTGGGACAGGTGTCTCAAGGGCCTGTACTCACTCCTGCCCCACCCACAGGCTCCTCAAATGGATCGAGGATGGGATCCCTAAGGACCCTTTCCTGAACCCTGACCTGATGAAGAACAATCCCTGGGTGGAGAAGGGCAAGTGCGCAATCCTGTGAGCCAGACACAGCAGGTGTAAGGTGTGACTTTATTATAAAAAGACTTCTCCAGACAGTGTCGTCCTGGTGCATTCCCTGTGCGTCTTGAGCTACAGTAGGTCCCTGATGTACAGGCTACGCCGCACGGCATTGGAGACACCCTCGTTGAAGCGGAACCAGACCTCACTCCTGCCCACTGCAGTGCCCATGCGCCACTCTACCGAATCCTTCTCTGGGACCTCGGTGTCTGTGGGGACCACACAATTGCTCTTCAGCTGCCCCCAGCCCCTGGGGTACTCCCCCATGCACCCCCACACACCTGTGCTTGGAGCTGTTGCTTTCTTGACAACCACACGTCCAAAGAAGTCCCTTTCAGGCTGTGGGAAGAGGGTATCAGGCATGGGGAATCAGTGGGGAGGGTGTGGGAAACACCACATGTCTTAGGACAGAGATCTTGAACTGGGGCAAAGACTTCCAGCTAAGGACACATTTTCCAACCCATTACTAATTGGTCCCAGCTCAACCCAATAGGTTCATCCTTGGCCTCAAGAGGCAGCCCAGTACTCAAAAGCCCACCCAACCCCCAACAGCAGCCTTGCCTAGCCCTGCCCCACACCTGTTCCTCCAAGGCTGCTCTCTTCATGATATGTTCCAGTCGCTGCTCGTGGTTGCGCAGAGGAAGTTGCCTCACCTCTTTATCTCCACACCCAGTGAGACCTTCAGGCCCTGGGGGACCCTGGTCTGCCTGCAGGGAATACTGGTGAAGACTGGCTGGACAGAGCCAACACCAAGGATAGCATTCACTTCCCAGGCCCTACTTTGCCCAACAGGGGTAGGTTCACCAAGGGCCTAGCTCACCTGGGGGCCAACTCTAGCCTGGGCCAAAGCCTCTGCCCGACGCATCTTTTCCACCTCAATCTCCCGGGCAATGAGTTGCTTGGCCTGGTAGGTAAGGGGCTTTCGGGCAGGCAGCTCAGGGAAGCGGCAGACCTCCTCCACATTTCTGCTCAGGGCAGGGCAAGACACCACGGCACTGGTCAGTAGGGCCAGGGCCAGGGACTCAGTTGGTGCTCTAACCCCACACAAGAGGAATGATGGCTGGAATAGGGGATGAATTCCCACTGCAGTCATATCCCAACCCCAGGACAGCTGGAAATCAACAACCTAGAGCCTGTTTTTCCAACTGTAAACAGAAAGATAAAGGAGCCTGCCTACACAGAGAGGAAGTAAAACAACGGACAGGGCAAGGGATGCAGGAGCCTGAACACTAGAGCCCTCACTAAGCCATAAAACCCCAAGCCCACTGCTCTGCTACCTGATACTCTATCCCACAGTACCTGCATAGCTATCACTGTCACTCATGAGGCTACTCATGAGTAATCATGAGTAACCCTGGGGCTGCACTTAGATTGGAAGAGTGCTACAGTGACTCAGTTCCCACAGCTGTGCCCTGGGTCATATCTGGGTAGGGCTAAGCTGCAACTGACCACTCTAGACACCTTGCCATGACCACGTTGCCTCTGGCACCCAACCTGCAGCCTCAGGCCTCCCCCACCAGGAACAAGGGACTCACGGCTCCAGCCTGTAGAGGTATTGCCCGTCAGGTGTGCGCTCCTGGCGGTAGGTGAGGCTGTAGGAAAGCATGGTGCCCACAAGGCTGGACAGCTGCTGCTTCTCACGGGCACTGTACAGCTGTGTGCTCACCTGGGGCCAGGTGGGAGATTAAGCAAACCAGAGCCACCCCTACCAGGCACCCCACCCTCTGCTCTATACAAGGCACTCACAGGGCGCAGCTTAGGTGCAAGAATGTCCAGAAGTAGGCAGAGAGTGTCCAGGATGAGGACCTGGGGTGTGGCCTGGCTTCGGGTGGCTGGTGTGATGCCTGACACCAGTGTCTGGATCAGGTTCCTTATCTGGTTTATTCGGTTCTGGGCCTGGGACAGAGATGAGCCAGGCCTGTGTCACCAGAACCATCTGGAAGCCAGACCCTAGCACAGGCAGAGCCAAAGCACACCTCTTGCTGGCTGCTGGGGAAGGCAATCCGAGGCACATGGCTAGAGGCGAAGAGGATGTGGAAGGCTGCGGGCAGGAAAGACAGGTAGCGCAGGAGCTGGAAGCTCTGGCTGTGGTGGGCAGCCTGCTCTAGCAGGTCATCAAAGGCCAACCAGTCAAGGGCCATGCACACAGATCCCAGGCTGGAGTCCCGGAGCCGCAGGCGCAGGAAGTTGTCAAAAAGGCCCTGGAGGAAGCAAGAGCCTGAGGAGTTTCATCCACCTCCCAGCACTAGCACCACCTTGGGACCTGTCCCTTCTGTCCACCTTGTGAAGTCCCAGGTGTAACACTCAGCCAGAAAAATGAGAGCATGGCCAGGACCTAAGGGGTCCACCTTGAGCTGCGAGGGTCTACCCCACCAGGAGCCCCAACCTCCCACTACACAGCTGGAAGGAAGCCCTAAACTCCTCCCTGGAGGCATGGAGGCCCCAAACTCCCTCTACTTAAGAGTCCCATCCATTCAGCTGTACTGTATGCCTTTCCATGCTGCAAATTTCCAGACTGGCTAGAGATCCCCACCATTAATCCAAAGGTGTTTGGGATTGGGAGGCAGCTTAGGGAAGGTTTCCCCATGGAGGGGCCTGTGCCACCTGCTTAGACCAAATACTATCCCATCTGGTCTCTACCCCATATACTTACACCCAGAATCCAGCCCCTCCCAGGCCCTGGTACCCCATGTGGACCACAGCAGAGGCCTCAACCCCCAACCATACCCTGTGGATGATCACTCACTGCCAGAGCCCATGCTCCCTGCTTCCCTCTCTAGTTCCCTTCCTGCCTCCTGAGGAGTCCCACAGCCTTCTGTCCCTGTCCATGCCATCCCCCAGAGGCCTCTCCAATGCGCTCTCCACTCTTCACCCATTCTCTGCCTTTTCTCCCCACATCACCATCCATACTCCCTTCCAAATACTCTCTTCAGCACCGTAGCACCGAGGATCCTGCCCCTGGGGAGGGCTCACATGAAGGGTGGGTACCTGGACCACTTTCTCATGTTCGCCTGCAGACATGGTCACTTGCAGAATGTAGTAGAAGCGCTGGGAAGCAAGGGTCAGGGAGCCTACATCTCTGTCACCAGGCAGCAATGTGTGGGCCAGCAGACTGGTATCCTGGCCTCCAAGTTGCCTGCAGGAAATGAAAAAGGTTAAGGGCTGTGACTAGGATCGGGGCCTCCCTGCTCTTCTGGATGAGCTCACAGCTCCCACCCAGCAGTGCTTCCTTCAGTCTTCTGAGTGAAGCCCTCCCAGCCCTTGCTACCGTGAAGTCTTATCTTTACATCTCCCTGGAGTCACTGGGGACCTCATACGTGGAGACCTCCCCTAAATGGATCTCCCAGGCCTTGAGAAGACTTTGATATGGACTGACCTTCACAATAGAGGTCTCTCAGAAAAGGCAACCCATAAGGAGCCAGGCTAGGAACTCCACATCTCAGAACCAGGAGTCCTTGGGTATCTCCCACTCTGTTTGGGGCACTAAACAGACCAGCACACCTGGTAGGTCATAACCTGAATCAGAGCAGACACACAATTACCCCCACCCACCTGAAGCTTCATGGTCCTGTTCAGGTAGTAGATGGGTAAAGCTAGGTAGAAGTGAATCCTGAGTCCCAGCAACAACTTGGGACACTGAGCCATAAAGTTATAGAGGCACAGAGCTTTGAAGGCCAAGCCAGGCAGCCCCAGGATCAGGGACATTGGGCCTACACGTGGTACTGACCTGAATCAGGTCAGCTTCCTGAGCCTAGACACTATGGGCATCTGGGCTGGGGTTAGCCTGCCACATATACCTACCTCTGGGTCCGGGGCAGCTGAAAGATCTCCTGCCACACGGAGAAAAGTCCTTTGCGCTGGTCCTTGAGGCCAACGTGGGTAGTCTGCACATCTCGCACACTCAGCTCCCGCTGGCCCCGTCCGTGCAGGAACTGGGTCGACAATGAGGTTAGAGGTCACCAATACCCACCTCACCCCACCCCTCCAGACTGCCTACCTTACCTGCAGGGTGTTGATGCAGGCACGGATGTCATTGTCTGTCTTCTCACAAAGGGCTGACAGTGCACCCGGGTCAGACTGCATGCCCTGTCGCAGGGAGATCTGCAGGGAGGGTAAGGGTACCATAGGGCTATGTGGCCCACCCTCAAGAGCCCATCCCACGGCCACAGCCTTGTTCCCCAGGGACAGGTAATAAGCAGCAGCCCTGGCTGAAGGACAACCATAGGCTGCACATCCCTAAGACTGGCCTCTGTCCCTGCTTCACTGCCTACCATCACAAGCCAAACTAGTCCTGGAGCCAGGTGGGAAGGGACCAGGACAGAGGCCACATCTTCCCCAAGTCATTCAAGCAATCCCTGGCTGCCTGATCTGCCCTGCTGACCTCCTGGAGCCGCTGCACCAGCCTTGAGGGCAGAGTAGGGGGGAAGTGCAGCAGGAAAGCTTGCTGCTTCAGCTGTCGCAGGGATGGCACAAACCTGCAGAAAGGGGAGGTGGAGATTCAGCTGGTACAGACACAGTGGCCTAAGCAAGACCGCCCAAGGCTGGGGCCAGTTCCCCCCATCATGCCTAGTACGGGCCACTCTACATGCTGGTTAGAGGCCACGGCCTCCCATTCTGGGTAGACTGCCCTACTCGCTGGCCAGAGGACAGAGCTTCATTTAGTGCAGGCCATTTAGTACAGGCCACCTCATTGCAGACCACCAAAACTGGGACGTCCTATCCAGTGTGGGACACTCTACTCACTGATCATTGCAGATACATATGATGGGCCTGGTCAAGAGGGCCCCCTCTGTTCGGCGTTGCCTGGCCCCTCCTAATGAAATAGTTGGGCCACCTGGCTCTGCCTCCTGTGGACCCTTACGATTCAGGATGCTCAGGAGAACATTGATGGCAGCCTTTGGGGAAGAAGAGAAGGATACAGTGAGCAGAGGCTCTGGTCCCTGCCCACCCCTGCTTACCCAGTGGTAAGGAGGCCCACCGTAGAAGCCCCATCAATCTCATCAATAATGAGGCAGTTGGGCTTCCCACTGGCACCCAGTACTGACTCCATCTGCGTGGCTGCCTCAATGCGCGTGCGGAAAGCCTCAGGGCTACGGTCATCGCTGTAACAGTAAGGCCAGGAAAGGGTCATGGGGCAGCCAGGGCAGTATCCAAGCTCCCCAGTTGGACAGCCTCAACCCCAGTGAGCCCTGATGAAGAACATGTACCAAGTACCCAGGACCCTAACCCTTGTAAGGCAGAGACAACCGCAAAAGGTCTTAGGGCTACAGCCCAGACTCAATCAGATGCCTCAGGACAGACAAGAAACCAGGATCCAGCCTTCTGCCCCACTTACCTGGCATTCATCTCCACCACACAGTACCCAGCATGCCGTGCAATCACATGTGCCAGTGTGGTCTTGCCCAGCCCCGGGGGTCCACACAACAGGGCCACCTGCAGGCAAGGCAGAAGACGTACTGCAAACCACACAGCCATGGGAAGAAGCCTATCTAGCAAGAGGCTAAAAAGCAGGCCTCACAAGGCTGGAAGCTGCTAGCCATGTCTCCACCCACCAGCCACCAAGTAAGAACACAGAGTACACAGAGTGCAAAGCCAGTTCTTCAGAGCAAGAGAAGGTCCCGTGATGGGGAAATTACATGGGGACAATTACATGGGGACTGTGCCAGCAAACCACGTTAGTTAGACAGAGTCCTTTAAGAGGCATTGGCATTTTCAAAGATTGTTAGCCTAAAAGATACAAAATTTAAGGCTGAGTGTGGTGGCGAAGCCTGTAATCCCAGCATTCGGGAGGCTGAGGCAGCAGGATTGCTGTGTGTTTGAGACCAGACTGGGGTACAAGGTGAGCTCAAGGCCAGCCTGAACTGCATAGCAAGACCCTGTCTCAAAAAGACCAAAAAATAAATAAATAAAAATAAAATGTAACCACACTTCACATAAACACCGACCTCACCCACAGCCTCTAGAAGAATCAAAGATGCCTAAGGGACTTGCAAGTATACAGTACCAACCACTGATTGTAGGGTATGCTCAGGCTCAGAGGTCCCCACTAAGACTAAGAGGGGCTCACCTTCTGCCGGGGCCGCTGGTTTGGATCTAGCTCAGCCTCCAGCATCTCTTCAACCACCTGCTCTTGGCTTTTCCACTTTCCAGAAGCTGCAGTCTCCTTGCCAGCCCGGGCTGGCTCTACGCTGGGCCTGGGCTTCTTCCAAGCAGGCCTTTCACGGCCGAATACCACATGGTCCCACAGCTTCAGCCACTTGAGCAAGCAGCGGTTGGTGAACTGCATGGAGGGAGGCATGGCCTAAAGCAGTTATTCAAACCTCCCAGAGCTTTTAATAACAACAAGCTATAGCCTGTGTGCCATGGGTGCATCACCACTAAAGTTCTGCCTGCCCCTCACATCAACCTGCTACTGTAAGCCCATGCCACAGGTAGGGACACTAAGGCTCAGGGGGATGAAGGACTGCTGGTAAGTGACAGAGGGTCTCACACCAGGTTTACATCCCACACCCTGGCCCCAGCCTCTGGGACTCCCTACTCTCCCTTCCCAGTCAACCTCTGGCATCAGATGTTACAAGTCAAGAATGAAAACAGGCATGGAGCAGGACATACCCTGGACATCTAAACCAGCTCACAGCAGGCCACAGGTGGCCAGCAGCAAACCAGATGTGTGGTGACTCTGTTTCCCATCTTGACCCAATGGAGCCAACCAGAGCCCCCACGTACTCTTGGCAACCCAATAGTTTTGCAACACAAAGATCAACTGGGCTCCAGATTCTTCCCTCTTACAAACAGGGAAGCCAGTGACACCTGAACAAGGACAAGACCTCACATCATCACTGAGCAGTTCTGTGTAGCGTTGAGGTGCAAATTCATCCACCCACAGGCAGTGCTGGGAAGTGTGTTGGCCATCAACAGGCTCCTCCATGGTTCGGGCCTCCTCTTCTTCAGATCTGAGGCTAAAGAGTATTGTGTCCTAAGACAACACACCTAAGCCTTCACCCCTCACAGAGACTATGGTCACAAATACCCCCAAAGGTTAATCCCAGAACCAGGAAGGCCCATCAAGTCACCTGTGCAGAGTATCTGAGAGCTGCTGGGCCTCCTGTATTAGCCGCTGCCGTCGCTATACAAACAGGATAGGATGGGTCAGGACAGCTCCACTGCCATTCCCCCTACTTCCCACACTCCTTAACAAATCTCAAACACCTCACCTCATTGTCAACCTGCTCCTTCAAGGAAGCAAAAGAAATACCCAGCAGGTCTAGTCGGCCAGGGGCTCGCCACCGGACATCCAAGAGGGGGCTCTGGTTGGGGAAGGAAGCAGTCACCTCTGGACCCTGTCCTAGGCCATGAGATCACCCAAAATCTCTATCCTCAGGACTACATGTATAAGACACATGAAACTGTCAGGCCAGGGACAGCACGGATGGAAGCCACCAACAGAGAGCAAATCTAAGGGAGGCAGCTTTAAGGGGTAGAGAAAGAAGGCAGAAAGGGATTGAATAGGGGCCTACATGGGAGGGTGGGATTGGAAAGCTGGGCCTGCTAAGGCTGTTGCTTCCTCAGCAGTTTTGCATTCCTATTTCTGGGCTGCATGGACATCCCCATTTCCACCAAAACAACAGGAAAAACCTGCCCATCAGTCTGTCGAGAGGCCTGCAGTGGACATGAGGCCCACACCCTTTCCTGGGCAAAATTAACCTGCCAACCCTAAACAACAGCCACAGTCAGACCCACACTTGTAGCTACACTAAGTACCCACCTGTACCCCATTGCCTGTGGAGTCAGGACGAAGCACCAGAAAGGCCCGGTCACCACCTGTGGAGGTCACATTGATGTAATCCTCCAAGACAGGGGGCCGCCTTAGGACAGGATTGTGGGTGTTATGTAAGGCCTGTGTGAGACCTGCATCTGCATCAGTGTCCATAGGTCTGGGAAGGGATAGGGCTCAGTCTCAGTTATCTGTGTCTCCTGTCACACTGGGATGGGGCACCTGGACCCCCTCTCAGCCCACTTCCAACAAGCCCCCACTCTCAGGATGTCATCGAAGAAACAGAATCCTTCCAAATGACTCTTGGACAGACAAGAAGAAAAGGGGTGCCCTAAGCCACACACCCAGAACCGCACAGCTCGGTTGGGACTTCAGGACTCAGTGGGGGGGTTATGGCCCTTGGTGGGGAGTCAGGAAACTCCAGCTCCTCCAGCTCTGGCCCAAAGTTCAGTCTCTTGACGGCCTCTAGCCTGGATCGCTTGACCTTGGGAGCTGAAGAGACACAACAGAAGGATGGTCCAAAAGTTCCTTTCCACTACACCCCCACCTTAAATAGGAGCCGCCCGTGGACCTACTGTGGGGCAAGGGCTCCTTGCTGGGGGCAGCGACATCCACTCTCCGCTTTCTGGCACCTCGATTGCTGCTGCCTGGAGAACCAGGGGGACAGGGACGAATGGCGGCATCCCCTCCAGCGATGGCCTCCTCGAATGTGGGCCAGGGCCTGACCGCAGCAGGCGGTGGGGTCCCAGAGGGCCGCAGGAATGGCGTACCTGCAGAGGAAGCGGTTGCAGCAGATGTCCAGTGCACGAGCCGTGCTCCACCTTCAGCGGTGAAAGTCTTCGCATCCCAGAGCGCTCCAGGCCAAAGTTGGGCATTATTTCCGCGTAACCCTCCCAGACTCCCGCCGCGCGCGCCCGGAGGGGAGGGTGGTAGCACCCACCTTCCAGCTCGGCCAGCACCTCGAGCTCTGCCGCGAACTGGTTGTGGAAATCATCCTCCACACCGTGCAACTCGTCCTCATAGTCCTCCATGGCACCCTAACCTAGCCCCAATCCTGGGGACGCTAGCCTCGGCCCACTGCAAGCTCCGCGATCTCCAAACCTCCCGCGCCACTGCCGCCAATAGGCTCTAACCCCACCCCGAGCGTCCCCAGTGCCGCCAATCAGTGACCGGCGTGCCGAGCGACGCTCGCCATTGCTCAGCAGGGCAGGGGCGGGGCTGCGCACAAGGCGGCGGGCCAAGTCTCGCTGAGTGGTCACAGCAAGGACCTGGAGCGCTCACCATTGGCCAGCAGGGCCGCATGTCCGCGGTGAGGCAGGCAGTGGGCGGGGAGAAGGTGGGACTCGTGGGTCCCCAGGTGCAGGGGCTGGGAACGCCGGAGGGAGCTGCTACTAGAAGTGACGTGTAGGCCCAGGCAGTCTGCAGGTTAGTCCTGAGGTAGGGGCGCGATAGGTTCTCGGATCCGGGGGCCTGCCGGTCAGAGCGCGCACAAGCGGGGCCAGGAGCTCCTGCGGACCTGAGTGGCACCTCACTTTGCTCTCTGACCACTTGGGGAAGGCCCACAGCTCAGCTTTTCCTCCCAGATCTGAAGTAGCCAGAGCAAGGTGGACCAGCTTCCACCTGCCAGCATGCTACCTCGCCCCTTTCCCCCCACCCTTCCCGAGGTGAGACAGAAAGGGCTCCCACCGTGCAGGTGCACACATCCCTCCTGGTTTCTGCTGTTGTTCAGAGACTTGGGCTCACTTTCACCCTCGCAGCAGGCCCTGCCATGGAGCCGGGCAGCGTGGAGAACTTGTCTATCGTGTACCAGAGCAGCGACTTCCTTGTGGTGAACAAACACTGGGACCTGCGCATTGACTGCAAGACTTGGCGGGAAACCTTGACACTGCAGAAACAGCTTCGACACCGCTTTCCAGAACTGGCTGACCCTGACACGTGCTATGGGTTCAGGTATGTGGCCTTGCACAAGTGTCCCATAGCAGCAGCCACTAGAAATTGTTCAGACGCTAAACTTCGCCAGCGGGCACTGCCCACAATCCAGCAGTGTCTAGGTCTCACTGCTCCTTGCCCTCCATAGGTTCTGCCACCAGTTGGACTTCTCCACCAGTGGGGCACTGTGTGTGGCTCTGAACAAGGCGGCTGCAGGCAGTGCTTACAGGTGCTTCAAGGAGAGGCGTGTCACCAAGGCTTACTTGGCATTGGTAAGGGGGGAGGGGGAGGTACCTAGGACTCCTACCTACTTTCACAGCCCTCACATGGCCACCTGGATGTCAAGCAGGCTTCCCAGTGGCAGTTGGATGGCCTACTGAGCGACATGTGATATCCCTTACCTGGCAGGTTCGGGGCCACATCCAGGAGAGCCAGCTAACAGTCAGCTATGCCATTGGCAGGAACAGCACGGAGGGCCGGACACATACCATGTGCATTGAGGGCACTCAGGGTATGATGGCCAGGGTTTGGGGTCAAGACAGACATCCAGCAAGGGCCTTGCACGGAATTGGCCATCTGGGGTGAACCTGTCAGGGGTTGATATACCTGCCTCTACACTTAGGTTGCGAGAACCCAAAACCAAGTCTCACAGAACTGCTGGTCCTGGAGCATGGGCTGTATGACGGCAATCCTGTCTCCAAAGTGCTGCTGAAGCCACTGACAGGTCTGTCCAGGACAGGGGAGGGCACGGGTTATGTAAGACAGTGAGCTGAGGCACAAAAACCCTGTGGCTTACCTGGGTCACCTGATTACCTGGACACAACCAATGATGAGGTCTGCTGGCTTCTTTTCCTGCTGGGAAAGTTTTGTTGAAATCTCCAGCAGGACCAACTGTGCCCCAATTCAGCCCTTACCAGAAGCAACTCCAGAATGGTCTCTTGTCTTGGAACTTGATGTCTCACATATAGTAGAAGACAAGGGGTTCCATCCCAAAGGGTAGTCCTGAGATTCCAAGGTTACAGCAAGGGACCCTTCTGGAGGTGATACAAGCTGGGTGGGGTGTGGGCCTAGAGCTGTCCATTCCAGCCTGAACTCTACCTGTCCCACAGGCCGGACTCACCAGCTGCGGGTGCATTGCAGTGCCCTCGGTCATCCTATTGTAGGTGATCTGACATATGGGCAGGCCACTGGACAGGAGGACCAGCCCTTCCGCATGATGCTGCACGCATTCTACCTGCGCATCCCTACATTGACTGAGTGTGTGGAGGCCTGCACGCCGGACCCCTTCCTCTCCACTCTTGATGCCTGCTGGTGCCCCCACACCCTGGTTCAACCTCTTGACGAACTTGTCCAGGCCCTTCGGGCTGCCCCTGACCCTGGACCCATGGATGAAGACTCTGGTCCCTGTAATCCCTCTGTATCGCTACCTGGGCCAAGCCAGGGTTCCACTGAGACTGAAGCTCAACAAACATCCTACCTGCAGTGGCTATCAGAGTGGACTCTGGAACCAGAAAACTGAGGGCCACTGTGGAATGCTGGGCTCATCTGGACAAGGGACTAGCAGGGCAAGCAGAGAGCCAGCCAGGCATGACTGTTGGAGATCAGTGCTCTCAGGCTGTGAGATTAATGCCTGATTAGGGGGCCTTCCTCCCAGTGTCTCCTGGACAAAACAGGCTTTTCCTGCTTGAATAGCTTTGTAATTCCAAAGTTTCCTCCTAGCAATAGTGGTGAGCATATGGCACATGTGTTGTAGCCAGGGGGTTGTTATCATTAAACACTCTAAAAGGTTACCTACTCATCACTGCCCTATGGCCTCATCTAATGGACTTACCAGAGGCCATCTAGCTGGTAGCCTCAAAGTTAGGATCTGGCCAGCCTTTGCCCCCAGGTGAATTCTAGTGCCTCACTCACCCAGAGGCCTCACCTGAGCTTTGGCCCTAAGCCCACCGAATCCTGTGTCCTGAGGCACTCCTCTTTCCTCTGATCCTTTTAACTTGCAGCCCAACCAGACCCTCTCCAGAACTCCCACTCTGTCTCCTGCCTGGCTTTGCCTGCCTCAGGCCTTTGCTTTATCTAGACTCTGTCCTGTGCCCTGCCCTCTTTTGCCTGCATTCAGTGCCTGGCCCTGAGGCGTGGGGCTGGGTAAGGCATCAGCAGCAGAGGCCTGTCCCTTCAAAACCAACCTGTGTGCTGCTTCTGCTGTAGCACTCCTGGGCTCCTGAGCCCTGGCTGCAGCTCTCACTACAGCAGCACCTGCTTGGCTCCCAAATGGCCACACGGTGTCAGACTCTGCCTTTAGGAAGCACCCCAGCCTTACCTTCTCTGTTCCCCACAATAACGCCCTGCTCCTGACTGCATCTGGGACATAGGATTTGTAATAAATGTTCAGTGATGAATCCCAAGAGTGACAGTGAGTGCAGTGGTCTCTGCTCTAGCCCATCCTGCAATAGACCTCAATGTCCTGACCAGCCCTCCCTTCAGGCCTGGTGAGTTTTGGCCCTTGGAGGCCAAAGCCATGTGGCCCAACCTCCCAGTCAGAAGCATCTTTAAAGTATCCAGACACTCTCACCTGGGTCCCCTGTGGGTCTACTACATGTACTATAAAGTTTATGGGGCTGGCTTTCAGAATCAGCTCCTTGAGGAGAGATGTACTCTTCAGCTATTTACCTTAGTTCTGTGCAAGGTCCCAGTAGTAATGCTGGGTGGTGGGAGCTAGAGGGGATGCCTTCTGGACCCCTGGACGAGTTTCCTCACCCTTGGCCTCTTGAGGAGGCCAAGACCCCACCTCAAGTTGTGCCCCCTCTGAAACACCGCCCTTAACTATCTTCCCATCTGAGGATCTTGTTCGTGTTCTGCTTCCTCTGGGACTCTCAGAAGGGCAATGAGTAAGCCTCACAGGCCTGGTCCCACAGCAAGTACTCATGAGGGATGTCTCTTGAGGGCTTAGGTATTGAGTACCTGGTGGGCCCCAGACCATAAGCAGGGTCATCTCAAAACATCCCAAAAGTTGGCCCGGCCTCCCTTATCCTGAAAGCTGAGACTTGTTGAGGGCTGACGTCATGACATGTCACCAAGGCCAGCAGCTGCTTTCACTTGCAAACTCAAATTTTTCCCTTTGGAAAAAAATAAAAAATAACAGGTGGTGCCACCTTTAGTATTCCCTCTACTCGACCCTGAAGGAATAGACAAGGACATCCAGCATTCCCAGGAGTAGTAGGTGGCCTATAGAAAAGGTGACACGTGGGAAGGTGGACACGCAGACAGCCAAGGGATAGACCCTACCCCAGGGAAGGCTTCACATACACTTCCTGAAGAGCCTATCAGCCTTTCCTGGTCTCCAAGGCCCAAAGAGTCCCAATGATCACCTACCTTCCAAGTCCAGCCCCTGCTTCCATGCTAGGTAGGATGTCCCCCTCCATCTCCAGGTTGCACAGCCCCAACATGAGCCCTATCTGACCCATCTGCCCTTCACCTCCTGTCTGTGGAGTAGGCACTCTACAGGATGTAGTACAATCAGGCAAGGCTTTCTAGAAGAGGAGTTTCCTCAGACAAGGCATTCCGGGGGGTGGGGGGGAACTACAGGAAATGCATGCATGGGTGCTAGAGGCCCTACCCAGCATGCACAAGCACCAGTACTCACTGCTGTGTGGCCTCCAACAACTCACTCAGCCTCTCTGAGCCGTTGTCTCTTTCTGTTAAAAACCAGGGTTACTGCTGCCTAAGGCCCTGAGTAGGTTTAATAAACCAGAACAGGAGCTTCGGGTGAGATGTAGCAGTCTCAGCAACAGCTCTCATTCTCTGGTCTTTTGTCCAGCCTGGGCTTAGGGCTGTCCTGGCAGGCAGACTCACATTGAGCACCCATCTTTTACCTTCACCTCAGCCTGCCCTGAGCTCTGAGGATCCTGGACAGCCCCCACCTAACACCCTGTCCCTATGGTGCCCCCCCTTCAGCATCCAAAGCCATCTTAAGACCTCATACAGCCAAAGCCTGCCTCCAGGAAGTGCTGGGGCTCAGGATAGACATGCCCTCTCTCTCCAGGACCCTCCCCTAAGCCTACTCCTGAGAACTTGGCCCCTCCAGACTGGCCACATGCGCTTCACTGCTGCCAGTACAACTATGGCATTTGCTATGTTTGCTGTGCAGGCACTGGTGGTGGCTAAAGGACCCTTCAAGGCCTCTCCTAAGCTGGATGAGACTTTGGACCATCTAGGCTATCCTGACAGGGTCCTGGGCTATGCTTGTAGGCCCTAAGGGGACTGTCCAACAGCCCTAGGGAGCCTTCGTTGGTCATCAGGCTTCCAGGGCCTGGCTCAGCCCATCTTGCTAGTACCAAATTCGCTGGGGTGCCTGCAGACAGTGGCTACATCATCACACCATAGAAGCTTGAGCCCCTGAGCCCTGAGAGCTATAGCTTGGTAGAGGGCCAGGTCTGGCACCATGGTCCAGGGCCAGCCTGAGGTAACCAGGCCTAACCACTTCGGTCCAGGAAAGGTACCATCTGTAGGTACCATCTGTAGCAAGTAGGGAAGTCCCATCTGTAATCTGACCTCCTGCCCTGGCCCCTAGGAGCCTGCCAGCACAGCCATCCTGCTCTGTTCTCAGGGACTGACATGGCTGCAGCTGCCAACGACCTGAGAAGGGCTGTCATCTGGGACAGGGCTGCGTGTAACCAAGCTCTCCCCAGTGTGGGTCTCGTGCTTGCCCACACTGCTCCATACTCACAGGTCTGTGTTCATACCTGCCCACCTCCTTGTTCCCACAGAAGGTCCAACTAGCTACCACATTGGTCCATGAGTGCCTCATGTTGGAGAAACACGAACACATGTGTGTGTGTATATAACATTGATATCTCCCTTCTTGGGCCCTGAACACACAGATCATGCGAACTTAGATACATGTGTATATGTGCCATGTGCACACACACACTGGCCCCTGTGGCAAAGGTATGCTCACATCCCACCCACCTGAGCATGATAAACACTCAGGGCTGGGCCCCACAGAGAGGGGCAGTGCTGGGCAGCAGCCAACCATGAGCTCAGCTTTGTGCCTCTGGGGACTGGGGAGCAAGCATCCGCTGAGCTGGACCCCTGGGAATAACGAGGCAGCACTCCAGGCCCCACCCAGGCCCCTCCCCTCTGGCTGTCTGGCAGGTGTCACTGGGGTCCACCAGTGAGAGCAGGTGTGTGCAGACTGCTGGGCAAGGCAGGGAGGCAAGTGGGGCCCCTTGTGCCCCTGCCCTACACCACCCCATATCCCCCAACTCCCGGCTGATGAGCTGCACAGCATCTACAGCACCTGATCTATAGCTCCCTCTATCCACTGCACGTGACCAGGAGCAGCTTGTCCCCAACCCCTGGGCAGCATCTCCTCTACATTGTTCCTGATCAGGTGAGAGGAATGGGTAGGGTGGGCCTGCCAGCTGGGTCCCAGAGCTCCAGACTGTACTTCTGGTCCCTGGGCATCCCCTTCGAGGAGGCTGAGCCCCTCTGAGTCTCTTTTCTGCTCCTGACATGGGGTGGCAAATTCCCCATCCTCTTCTCAACCTTGCAGATTCCTGAGTCCAAGGGAACCCAAAGCGGTCACACTGAGCTCACTGTGCCAAGAGGAGTAGGTGGCACACAGCTGTCCAGCAACCCTGGCTGGGCTCCTGAGCCTCAGGATTCAGGTTCCAGTGATAGAGTTAGCACATAAGTTCTAAAGAGGGGACAGTAGGCACCTGGGCTGCTGGGTGAGGGGGCACCTCTTCCCCAGAGCCTGTGGGACTCACTGTAAGAGATCTGTTAATTGGAGACGCTGCTGTAGCATGGGTCCCCGGAGCCCGACCTGTGATAAGAAAGGCTAGGTTTACAGCTCCTCTCTCCCTATTCTGATGCTTGTTTGTGGGATTAGTTCCCTCCCAAAGGCTGAGCAGATAGATGCACTGGGCCGCACCCAAGGTCAAGCAATCTGTGTGACACTGGTATTTCCCTTTTTGTGCCCTGAAGCCAGCCTGATCACTCATCTTCCTTCCTCTCCAGCTAGTCCTGGACCTACTGCCTGCTATCCTGGTGTCTTCCTGCCCAGGGACATCTCAGCCAGGATGACCAGTGCTTGCTGCCGCTCTGCCATTGGCTCCAGAGTGGGTAAGATGACGCTTTCTTGAAGAAAGTGTTCCCTGGGCCTTCTGGGCATCTGTCAGGCCCACATGGTAGGACCATTGGCTTAGTTGCAGAGGCAGAAGATGCTTGGACCTCTGGCCGCCCTGTCCTCATGAACCCAAACTGGGAGATGTGCCCTAAAGAAAAGGGGACAGGCGGAGGCAGAATCCTCCAGCACAAAGGGTTAGGTGGGTGGTACAAAGAGACATTGTGAACACAGCCTTTGTAAGGGCTTTGGGGTCCCAAAAGGAAGACCCATGGCTTGTCAGGCACGGTAACACACAACTATAATCTCAGCTGCTCAGGAAGCTGAGGTAGGAAGATTGCAAGTTTGAGGACACCCTGGGCTTCACAGTGAGACATTATCTCAAAATTTAAAAAAAAAAAAAAAAAGTGGCAGCGGGGGGAAGGAAAGAAAAGAAAGGGCTGAGGGTATAACTCAGTGGCGAAGTATTTACCTAGCATGTGGGAAGCCCTGGATTCAAACCCAAGAAACATGGAAGGGCAGAGGCTTGCTGGCCCAACCAGGACATAAAAACAATTCTTTCACATAGTCCCAACACAGGCCAGGCCCCTAGGTGGAGAGGTGATAGAGCCCAGACATATCTGGCCCAGTCTTGTCCTCCTGAGAAGAACAGGAACCCAGACTTAGCATTTGAGAGCCCACGGAGAGTTACCCTGGCCGAGGCAGCATCTGCTAGGCCCAATCCCTATCCATGGGCCCTTTCTCTACTGGAGATTTTGCTAAATGGTCTGCCCAGGGACAGTGAGTTGGAGCTCCATGGACACAAAGCCCATCTAGTGGGCTGGGCTTCCAAGGCCAAAACATAGGCCAGGCTCCCGGAGTCCCGTTAGGAAGCCCTGTTATACCCCACTGCAGAGGCTAAGGGGCTTAGGGTGAGGTAGGAGTCAGTATCTACCCCTGACTCAGGATCTGAGGGCTCAGACTGAGGACAGAATCACAGCAGGGGAGATGTAGCTGGAGGGAGATCTACATGCACACAGAGTGCACTCAGACCTGTGCCACTCGCAGAGCCAGACTGTGTGTACATGAGCCTGTACAGCTCTCAGGGTCCCCTCTGATCTTCCCACTGGAGTCAGTGGCTGTGGTAGGGGTCACAGGCCCACTTAGGACCCAAGGATCCTTACACAGACCCCAGGTGACAAAGGCACCCATGCTTACCCTGACACTGAGTCCTCATAGCCTACTCTGTTCCAGGTGCCTTGGCAAGCCCTGGCCTCACCCTCCTCCTGTCCCTCACTGCTCACTGCTCTAGTTCCCGGGCTGAGGGTGTCATCCAGGGAGGGCTGGATGTTGGCAAGGTCGACCCATGGGCCAGGTGAGTATGGGGTGGGGGTCTTGCAAATCCAGTGTTTTCTATGGTTGCTTGATGGGAAGAGGAGAGGGAGGAGGAAGGTCCTGATCCTGGGATGGCCCATGGATGTTCTTCTGGGAGAGGTCACATCCAAGGATATGAGGCCTTGGGAGGAAGGGACACTACCCTAGGCTTTGACCTACAGAACCTTGCCCCAGGTGACCCACATGTCCAGGTTCAGTTACAGGTCCAGGAATGGATTCCCAGGCCATCTACAACCTTGGCCAGGGTCACCTGAGTTTTATCCTTGGGGCTCCCAGCCCTTGGACCCCAGCTCTGGCACCCACTCTAGTGATCTCAGGGCCATCACTTCTCCCTGAGTCCTTTCAGCTCCCTTGTACTCCCATCCCCCAGCTTGGTTGTTTCTTCTCTCTATTCAGGAGCTTCATGTCTGAGCCTCATGTCTCTCCTAGGAGCTGGTAGTAACTGATGAGTCTATCAATCAATTAATGAAATGTTTAGTCAGGCAGAACCAGGGTCCCACATGGGAACAATCAAGCCCAGGCTAAGGCATCTAAGACCCCTCTTGTGAGGACATGCTATTCCAGTCTTACTCTGAGGAAAGCTCAGAGATGGCCTAGGCCAATGATGGTGAACCTTTTAGAGCTTTCAATAACAAACAGCCTGCTGTGGCACACCTGCCATAGGCTCACCACCACTGGTCTGGGCTGTGGCCAGCCAGCAGGTGCCTCTAGGCCCCTCAGCAGCCTGCAGGGATGGTGAAGGCCTGGCCGCGGGGGCCTCAGCAGATGGATACCTGCACACACACAAGCTCATGCAGCAGAGAGCTTGGCTCACACGGGGTGCTCGGGTAGGGAATGAAAGAGCAGAGCAGGAGTCTTATATGAGAAGTCACTTCCACCCCTCACTGCCTGAAAGTGGAAAAATCTGCCCTTGCTGGAGCTTCCCCTAACAGCGCTATGGTCTCTCATGGCCTCATCTTCCTGCTCAGGGCCAATGCTGCTCTCCTGCAAGATTTCTGGTGCTATCCAGCTGGCCAGCTGCCTCGGGAGCAGCTCTCTGCCCTGCTCAGGAGCCTAGCATCTCAGCATGTCCCACTCCAAGCCTGGCAGGTAAGCACCATGGGAAGAGATGGGAGGGGCAAGTCAGGCCTTGGAGGGGACCAAGGGAATGCGGGTAGGCAGCTCCTCTGAAAACAGGGCCAGCTCGCAGCTTGGCCAATCTGCTAGGTTCAGTATCACCTGGGCTCTGAAGTGACCCTGCCAGGCAGGGAGTTTGGCTTCTTTAGGCTGGGCTGTTCCTCTTAGGGACAGCTTCGTGGTGTGGCCCGTGCCACTTCAGCACTTAGTCTGTAGATGCTTCTGCTTCTCATTCCTGATGAGGACAAAGCTCGTCTGCTTCCCCTTCACAGCCTCCTGGTGTGCAGTGCCCTTTCCTCCAAGCTTCCAGGCCTCATGTGTTGATGGGTTGTCAGGCCAATGATCTCTGCCCTGGCTGGGGCTACAGGGCCCTGAGCTGGAAGAGAGGCCAGCAGAGCCCAGTTGGGCCCTGAAGTGACTCAGGCATCATTCATCCCTGAGTTAAAAGGAAGAAAGGAAGAGGCAGGAGCTGGATGTGGGTGGCACACATCTATGATACCAACACTGTGGAAGGCTGAGGGAGGAAAATCTTTGAGCATTTTAGGCCATCCTGGAACATATAATGAGTTCAAGGTGAGCCTGAACTACATAATGAGACCCTGTTTCTATGTTTTTGTTTTTATACATTTTTTTTTCCTTTCATTTTATGTATTTGGTTCAGGGTCTCACTACGCAGCTTGGACTCATAATGATCCTCCTGTTTTCAGCCTCCTCAGTGCTGGGATTACAGGCGTGCACCCCCACCCCCACCCCCACACTCAGCCAGCTCAGAACGCCCTAGGGGCAGGGTCAGCGCAACATGTGGTGCGGAGGATTGAACCGCAGTCCCTGAACTTGCCTAAGCAGCACTTAGTCTGGTGAGCTATCTTGCCGACCCCAAGACCCTGTTTCAATAAAACAGAAAAAGGGCCAGGGATATATCTCAGCAGCATAAATGCCTGTCTGGCAATCACAAGGTCCTGAGTTCAATCCCTGGTACCACAAAAGAAAGAAAGAGAGAAAAACAGAAAGAAAAAGAGAGAAAGCTCTGAGAGCTGGGTGTGTTGACGCACTGCTGTAATTTCAGTGCTCAGCAGGCTGAGGCAGGAGGGTTGCCACAAGTTCGAGGACAGCCTAGGCTATATAGTTAGTTCAGGAGCAGCCTCAGCTATACAGCAAGACAGCAAAACTCTGTCTCAACACACATTAAAAAAGAAAAGAAAAAAAAA